TGGAAAAGTTGCATGGTATATCGACTTAAATTTGCATCAAATATAGTTGTTTTGTACCTACAACTCCAATAAGTTACCGTTGGTGTTACAGAGTATTTGACAAACTTACCGTTGTTGTTATTACCATTGTTGTGATCTATAAAATATACCAATCTTTGAACTTCACTATATCATTAGAATTTGTATTTTCTTTATGAGCTTCAGTTTGACAATATATTACAATTTCTTTTTCTTTTTCTTTTTTTTTTTGTGAGCTTCAGTGTATATTATCTGTTTCTTAGCATCAATTTATATCGTTACAATATATTTTACTGGAAGTTAGAGGTTGTATCCTACTAAATTTTCTTCAAACTATGGAAGATTTTGAAATGTTTGAGGAATCACAAACTTCAGAGCACAACATTGATATTAATGTTATTTCAGAAACTTCTCATGTTTCTCATGGTAAAACGTTCACAATTATAGAAGATGAAACTTTATGTAGATCTTGGTTGGCAATCTCTTAAGATCTCATTACTAGTAATAGTCAGACTATGGCAATATTTTGGGAACGAGTACTCATTTATTTTAATTCACAATTGAGCGATAAATCAAATCGAAACCGTATTTCTTTGTCACACCATTGGTCAATCATGCAAAAGACAATTAATAAATTTTGTGGTTTTCTTGAGCAAATTTAGTTGAGGCAACAAAATGGAACAACTGAGGCAAACATGTTAATTTTTATTTCTGTTATTAAATATCAATTTTCTTTTGTAATGTATACTTGTTATCGATATGTTTTTAATTTTCATTTTGTAGATCGCTGAAGCAAAGCAGATGTATCATGCAATACAGAAAAAATACTTCACATTTGATACAAGTTGGGATATTTTGCGCCGAAATTGTAAGTGGGATGAATTCAGAACACAACCAAAAAAAAACCACGCAACATGCATATCCATGTTCGAATCCACCAACTGAAGATGAGGCTTTTCAACTCAACTACAATATTGCAAGGAACCAACAACCGACTAATACATCAACACGACCAATTGGTACTAAGGCTGCGAAAGAGAAGTTGAAGAATCGAACAACTCACAATGTTAGATTTGATGAAAAGGCTGCCAACCAATCTAAAATTGTTAAGTATTATTAACTATCTCCGCTAGAACTGTTGAGTGAGATGAACAAAAGGCGATAGACCGTGAACAGAAGGCTACAGAGTGTCGAAGAAGGGCCAAGGATAGGGAGAAACACCTTAAAATCTTATCTATGATGAATGAAAGAGAACAACGAAATGAGGATCATAGAATAATGTCAATGGACATGACAAATTTAAATCTTATGCAAACAGCGTACTATGAAGAGCTTCAACGACAAATCTTATTTTGATCAACAAATTGATTTCCTTTACTGTTTTTATATTGCATTACTTATTTCGATAAACAATTTCTTGCATTTTAATCTATTTCTGTATTGCATTTTATTCTATTTTAATTAATTTATGTATTCAAATTATATATATGTTAATGGTGGGTTGTATTGATTTTGTTATTTAAAAACAATAACAGTTCATGTTGATGGTGGGTTGTATTGGAATTATTTGTATTAATTTTATTATTTAAAAACTAAAACAATAATACAAACATAGTTATTCCAAATCAACTTTCAAAATACAAGTGATAGCAACACACAAAACATGATCACAAATTAAATTTTTTGTATAGAGATTGTGAAATTTACAGTTCAAATATCTATCAATTTTGTTTATATACCTTTTTTTTTAAAACATGGTTACAAATATTTTGAAAACATGCTCACAAATATTTTAGTAAATACTCATGTTTACATTACTACCAGCAAATAAAATTGTCCAATATGTTCTAAAAGGGAGATCCATTACATTCAGAAAACAAAATATTCCAACAAAATATAAAAAGTTGTTAAAAAAATAAAACAACGAAAATATTTCATGAAATAATACATTCTGCCCACAAACAAAAACCACATAATTTTTCTTTTCATCCAATCTCTCATCCAAACACATCAAAAATCATTGTTCGGTGGTGGTGGAGGGAAGTAGTGCTGGTAGATGTCATTTACGCGATGCTCAATTTGATCCATGCGATTGTTTGCCACTTCATGACATCTTTCAGTGTCTAAACGGAACTCACCAAATTGTTGAATTAATGAGTTCTGAGTAGTGGCAAACGCATCAAATTGAGTACCCAATGCACTGACCTGATTAGCCATTTGTTGTTCCCATTGAATACGCTGATTATGTTATTCTTCTTTCATGGCCAAAAAATCAGTCCAATATTGAGGTTGTCCAGTTGATGGCATCGCATTGTCATGAGGGTCTTCTTGAGCATCATTTGCTGGGACATCTACATTAAGATTTTTCATTAAATTGTCAGCTCCACCAACACAAGTCAGTGTGTACTCCGAAATAGCCGAAGAGATTTTAGTCTCTGCTTCACCTACAAGGCGGATCTTAAAATGTTTGAAAATTTTAGTGAACAGAGCCCCAAAAGGTAGTGACCAGCCAATGAATTGACCAAGATTTGCTCCCATCATTTCTTTCATTATTATGTAGCACAAATCTAATTTTTGGCTAATTTCAAAACAATTTAGCAAATAAGCATTAAAATATGGGATAACACCAAAATGTTCTCTTTTCGGAGTGACATTTTCTACTATCCACCGATGGAGAATCCAAAGGTGACGTTTCAGATGTTTTGCTTGTAAATTAGTCTCGCTAAATCTGTTCTCACAAATAGCAGTATATACTTCACTGATATTACCAAAAATGTCAAATAGGTCAGACTCACTCTGAAAATAGATATTAATATCCCCTTCCTTTACTACAATAATTTGTGATAAAGTGGAAATATCAAACTAAATATCATTACCTTTCACATAAGATAGAAGAGTAAAGTTTACATCTTCTTCATTAGTACCTCTCAAGTGAACATAAAATAAAGATACAAGACGTGGATATACCTTTTATGGTAAATTAATTAAATTTACCCACCTCATTGCCTCAAGTTTGCTAACTAATAGTGGATCATATTGAGATAGAAGATTAACCCTTCTCTCAGTTACAGTAGGTCGGCTGGAGAAGCTTTGAAAGATGTGCTCATGACTGTAACTGAGAAAATCATTAGTTGGATAAGCTTCAATTTGCGGCTGTTGTTACTGTTGTTGGCGTGGTAGAGGGTTGGAGCTTTTACCATGTTCTGGTCTTGCTCTTTTTGTTCTAGGCATGATGTAAATATCTATTCAATTTTATTAGAAATGTGTTAAATATCAATGGTGAATTACGGAGGTTAATAAATTCAGTGTGAGGAGCTGAAATGGTGTGAAGTGTGATGTGCAAAAGTGAAACAAATAAGGAACTGCACACACACACACACACAGAAGAAGTCGGTTGACCAGCCGATCAACCCATTGGTTCACCCACCTAGATTACACTTTGTATTCGATTTGTGCTGCTCTTTGGCTTGCTGCTTCTATTGCCTTGCCTACTGATTCTTTCAATGCACACTTCTAATATTGAATAGATATAGAGTGAATATCAATAGTGTTTTGGGAGTAGAATTAGGCTTGTTGATCTTGGTTGCTGCTGCTTTGGCTTGGGGTTTGCGAAGCAGATTTTTTATAGCCATTTCTGTCCAATATTGAGTGTATATAGAGGGTCAATAAATGAGGTAGGTGGTGAAGAGAAGTAATGAGGTTAGTAAATTGCTTAAATGAAGTAATTGGAAGGTGGTGTGTGTCATGAGGCATTGACCAAACCTACAACTCGTATGCCACTTCTGATATAAGGTCTTGAATTGTCAAATTTGGATTGTACATTGCATTCACAAATAATTGGATTGTACAAAGGTATTGAATGGTCACAAATTAATGAGGTACTGAATTTTTATGAGGTATTCAATAAATGAATAGTACATTAATTATTTTGTAAATCTTTTGTAATTATGTTGAATATATATTTGCAAATTATGTGGTAATTCTTTTGTAACTGATTAAGACAAGGTAATCAAAACTGAAATTCTTTTGTAATTTAATATATGTGGATATATATAAAAACACACCATCAGTAAATTATGAATTGGATAATCAGCACACAACATTTATGAATTGTCAAATTTATGGATCGGATTATGAGAACACAACATCATAACAAAACTTGTCAAGTACTTGGAACATAAATTTAAGAATTGGAAAAATTATGAAGAGCACTAATAACAAACAAACATTGACAGCTTTCTTTGCATAATGACCGCTCATTCCAAAAAATAACCAAAAGTACATGTTCGTATCCACGTGGTGAATTTAGTTTTCACCGTGAAAATGCCACATATGTTTTATTAAACTATTATGGGGGGCATGATATGCATTTTTATCTCTGATACCTAAATGACGAGAGAGAAATGATTGGAAGTCATTGTTAGTATTACAGGAAAGTTATACTAGTGAGTTGGTTGATGAAGGATCATAATCAAAATCAAGATACTCATCTCTCTCATCTCGAACAATCATATTATGTAATATAATACAACTCTTCATTATGTTCCCATGCATTTTCGAATCCCAAAAACCGTACGGCACCACCTATAATTGCAAATCGGGATTGGAACACTCTGAATGCCTGCTTTACATCCTTCCTTGCTGACTCTTGCATCATTGCAAAATGTTGCTTCTTTACTCCTTGAAGAGAAGTGATTGTTTGAACTAGTGTTGCCCATTGAGGGTATATACCATCAGTAAGGTAATAACCCATATTATAACTATGTCCATTAATAGTGTAATGGACAGTGAGAGCTTTACGTTGGGCAAGATCAGAAAACAAGGGCGATCGATCCAACACATTCAGGTCATTGTGTGATCCAGGCATTCCAAAAAATGCATGCCAAATCCAGAAGTCATAAGAAGCTACTACTTCAAGAATGATGGTTGGCTTTTTTTTGATGGCCTACGTATTGACCTTGCCATGCCTTTGGACAATTTTTTCACTCCCAATGCATACAATCTAAACTTCCCAACATACTTAGAAACCCGCGAACCTCCCTAATAACAAGTAATCTAGCAATGTCAATTGATGTTGGAGATCTCAGGTATTCTGGTCCAAAGATTTCAATTATTGAATTACAAAAGTGTTGCAAACTTTGAATTGCAGTACTTTCCCCAATACGTATATAATCATCAACTGCATCTGCTGTCACTCCATATGACAATATTCTCATTGCTGAAGTCATCTTTTGTAGGGAAGACAATCCAAGAATATGAGTTGCATCTTGTTTTTGAACAAAATATGAATCGTGTGCTTCAATAGCATTCAAAATTCGCAGATACAGAGGACGACGCATTCGAAAACGTCTTCGAAATGTTGCAAATGAATAAACTAGATTTGTTGTAAAATAATCAGTGAACAATCGCTCATGACCCTTCCATCTATCGCGACGTATATACTTATGTCCTACAACAGAACCATATGTTTTCTTTGATCGATCAGTTGAATGTAGAATCTGAATCATGCTAGCATTATTTATCTCATAAACCCCCAAAAGTGTGACCATTTTTTCATCATCAAACTCACTATCAGAGGATGAGGAAGAAGAAGATGATGAAAATGAAGTGAATAGGTAAGAATTTGAGGTACTCATTATGCTCTGCTTTCAATTATGGTGCCTTCTAGATGTAACATACCTGTTGTCTGGTATATGGTACATGGATATAGATTTATATCAATTCTTGGAAGGAAATCATTATTGGAGGCAACAAAAAATGAAATATATTTAATGGAGAGAAAAAGAAATGGTAAACAGAAATGGAGGGGAAAAAAATTTCAGTACCTGATCGGTCGACCGGCCGGTTGTCCCACCGAACATCCCCGAGCTTTTGATGCAAGCTACAGTGCCATTGTTCGAGCAGCTTATATCAGATAAAGGAACTTGCCTATTTTTTTGCTCAGATTTGGTGAAAAAATTAGTAGATCGTTGAAGATGCTCTTAGCTGTGTGTTTTGATGTTAAGAAAGTTTGAAATGAAAATCTTTGAATTTTTGGATCTAGACTTCGATTTTATTTTTGTGAACTCTTTAGCAAGTTGGATGATTTGATCATGTTGTTGTGATGTTTGATCTTTAGATACATGTATAAGATTTGATCTGTGCAAACCAAATTTTTGCAAATAAAATTTGTACAGAGAAAAGGCTTTGATCTGCCAAAATTGAATAGAGATTTTTTCAACAGATAGAGAGAGAAGATAGAGGTAGAGAGAAACAAATGGAGAGAGAAAAAATAGGTGGAGAGAGAAACAGATAGAGAAATAAAGTTTGAAAATGGTTTGAATTTGAATAAATAAAAAATAGATTATAAAAATTGAACTAATAAGAAAAAAATTCAATAGATAGGTTAAAATTTTTTGAACAAATAGACAAAATTTAAACAGATAGTGAAAAATTTGAAGAGATAGATATAAATTTGAACAGATAAAAAATAATTCAAACAGATAAATATAAATTTGAACAAATAGTCAAAAAAAAAGTCAAAAAATAAATTAAGGAATAAGTTTAGAAACAAAATGTCCTTCCAAAACAATAAAATAACTTCTCACCAAATTATTTTGCAAAAGGAGGACCTCTCACCAACAAAAAATATCCACTAGATTTAATGCCTTATATCTTCCTTAGATTGGAATTATCACCAATTTTCTCAATTTCATTTTACTTCCTAAATTATAATTCAAAAAATAATTCAACTCCTACTATTGTAAAAATATTAATTTTAAATATAAACTATTTAATTTTGAATCAATTTACCCTACTATTATTTATAATCAAATGAAAATTACCGATATGATACTAAGTAGTTGTTTGGAATGTGCTATATAAGTGCACTTTTTTATTTTTTGACTAAAAAAGTAAAGAAAAAAAAGATATATGTTTGTGACAACTTTTAGATTTTTTACGAAAAGATATGTAATAAAATATTGGGCAAATTACACTAATAGTCCCTATACTTTACCTCTTGTGTCAATTTGATCCTTGTGTTTTCAATTTGCTTGATTTTGACCCTCAATTTTTAATTTCGTTTCATTTTAGTCCAATTGTTAACACCGATTAAAATTGTTGACGGAAAACAAACACGTGAGACACACATGACCCTTTTTCAAGGGCAATATGGACATTTCACTACCCTTTCCTTGTTTCATCATCTTCTTCCTCTTGGACTCTCTGCAACAAAATCATCTACCACTGTTGCCTTCCTCCACCACTAAAATCATCCATAGCCAATTCCAGCATCAACACCATCCACCTCTACCGCACCAAAAACCCACTTAATTTCTATTTCACAACCTTCACACAGAGAGAGAAATTAAGATCAATGTTTGTTGAAATTAAGACAGAGTGTAATATCCACTTTCAAGTTTGCTTCCAACTTAGATCGGGTCAACCTTCAAGACAAAGACAATGGCGTGGCTTCGAATCGAGTACAACAATGGGAAATTCAAGGATCTGTTAATGGAAACACCAATATGGGTTCATCAAATGGTGAAATTTCTCAACAATTGACCCATGAATCGATCTCATTGGATACCAAAACAGAGGCTTTTTGGTGGAGCGATTGATCTGTTGATGAAACAGGTTCATGGACTTGATGATAAATTCAAGTCTCTATAGAGATTGTTTGTTTCGAGTTCATAATGTTCATATCAAATCTCCTCGGAACCACTTTGATGTCCTTCACATTGAAGCATGTTTCGAATCGTATCGCAGTGATTCGAGTCTCCCCAAAAGGAGATCCACCGACCCTGTAAACAATCCCAAGCTGATTCCCCTAAAAATAATCGAAATGAGCAATGGGTCGAATAGGTCCAACCATTGCTCTCCAAAACTCCCAAATTTCCATGACACCAAGGACCTGACATGGTTATGTGGGTTCGAAGCTTTTGAATCAACCTTCGCTGTCAACCCAGCAACTATCGTTCTTCCCATGGTGAGTCCACCGACCAGACCACACGTTTCTCAAAAAATCAAACTTGTTACAGATCCTAATTTCTTGCAATTCAGACATTGATTTGAAGAACTTGAGTGGGATTTTGCGCACCTGTTTGTCAATTGCGAATCTTCGTGGAGAAAATTTCAGACCCTCGTAGTGTTTGAAGAGTAAGATTACAGTGAGATTGTAATCTCTAGCGAAATCTGGGTGGATTTGGAGAGAAAAAAAAGTATGTTCTATTGCCCAAATCTTTTATCTGAGGCTGAGACTTCCATCGATCATTAGAGCGGTCGGTTTCGAAGTAATCACCACCCAAACAGTGAGGCTTCCCTGACTCATCCAAAGCTTGGAACATATACTCATGGATTTGGCTTGTCGGTAATTCAAAACAGGTGGTGTCGGGGTTGGAATAGAATAAGGTGTTGTTTGGTGGCGAATGGTGGTGGTTGTGTTGTTTAGCAGTGGCGGTGATGGAGTGAGATTGATGATAGACAGTGGAGGAGGGGGGAAACAACAAAGGGTGTTGCAGAGATGGAATAGGAAAGATTATGCTTGAAATGTCTATTTTGCCCCTCAAAGTTGATCACATGTTGTGCACATGACTATTTTCTGTTAAATTTTTTTACAGAGGTTATTGATTGGACCAAAATGAAACGAAATTAAAAATTGAGGGTCAAAATCGAGCAAATTGAAAACACAAGGACCAAATTGACACAATAGGTAAAGTACAGGGACTATTAGTGTAATTTGTCCTAAAATATTATAGTAAAATCAAAATGACCATTTCACCTTTTTTATTTTTAACTTTTTGACTTTTTGGGTAGTTGAATTCAAAAGGCAAAATTATAATTTTGCCCCAGTAGCTTCCTTCACAAGTTACCCTTGAATAGTATAAAATTTTTAACTTTTTTAATAATTTTTTTAACTTTTTAACTTTTTTTATTTATCCCAAACAACTCCTAAAACTTTGTTACCTCTAAACTATTTCAAAAATATCGATTAGACTCCGCTATTAACTGCTCTTTTTTTATTATTATAGTTCTTTAATATTCTTTTAGGATAGAGACTTTTCTTTTCTAGATTCTATACATAACTTGAGAGTCAAATCGTGTTGTGTCGGGGGCAAGACTTTTTTGCAATTGTAATCCTGTATTTTTGAAAATTTCTATTTTCACACCCTATAGTTTCTGACTCCACACATTTAATAAATTTTTTATATTATATTTTTGTTCTAAAATAAAAATATCAAAATATTCTTATCTAACAAAACGAAATCCTAATTCATCGGCCTCCGTCTTGACCACCCCAATCATGCTTTCCACCTCTGGCGAATCTCTTCTGTTGCAACTACCACTTCCACCATCATTCTCATCACCCATTTCAACTCTGACGACACTCCTTGCCACCTTTATGGCCTCCTCTGTCATTTGAACTAGAAAATATTTCTTTTCATTCTAGAGTGAATTTGAGTGCATAGATTAGTGACCGGGAATACTCAAGACTAACCATTTTTGTTCTATCCATTTGAGGAAAATGAAATTGAAGTATGGTGTTTATGCAAATAATATTTACGTATAGAGGAAAATTTGGTGTCTTTGTAATTTACTTATTTAGTCGATCTTCTTATCTGAAGGGGATGATTTAATAAATCCCATGGATTGCTATGTTTAATGGAACGAATACATAAGCAACAAACTATAGTTTGATACCATGAGATGGGTTGGTAATGGTTGCTAGTGATGCTAGAGGGATGGGAATGGCAGTGGCAGCTTAAATTTCCGGTAGAGGAGGCAATGGTTGGTCGGCCGACAGTGAATAAAGAACGATAAAAGTTAAGGTTAGGATTAAGGTTTGAAGAATGAACGAGATGAGGGCATTTTTGGTATAATAAGTTGTGTATTGAGTAAAAAATGACATTTCAAATTCATTAAATATGTGCTTTGAGAAATGATGTGCACGGAGAAGATTTGGTATGTGAAAATAGAATTACCCTATCTCTTCAATGTTTGTGGCTTAACTTTTTGAAAAATATTAGTAAATAATATTGGGGACATAAAAATTAGTGTATATTTGAAAAAAAAAATCATATTAATGGTAAATTTTATAAAATTTTAATTATTAAGATCATTAAATTTTTCTATGAATATGTAATTTTTTTAGGCAAGTATAACTGATTTGTAATTTTTTCAATAATATTTACAATGATGATTAGTTCACATTAATAAAATACAAAAAAATAAATTATTATATGGTTGAGATTTATTTTAAGTGTAACTCATATCATACTCATAATGCCCCCACAATATATTTTTTGTTCTGTTTATATGTTCTATTTTTACGTACTAAGCATTCATTTGAAGTTTAGATAAAATACAGTAAATTCTATAGTTTTTATATAATTAAATTGACTTATCTTTAAGTAAGGTAAAAAGACCAAAATTAATGCAAATGATATAAAAATAGAAAGATAAATAAAATAAAATGTATATTTTATTTTAGTGTAAAAGAAATGATAATATCATTTTTTTTTCATTTATACGATTAATAATTATTTTGTTGAAAATGAAACTAACTGTTATATGAATTAAATTTGAAGAGAACTCAATGTAATTATGTTAAAATTATCGGACTTAATATATTTTGTTTAAATTTTAAGAGATATCG